TCTCTCTCTGTGTGTGTGTGTGTGTGTGTGTGTGTGTGTGTGTGTGTGTGTGTGTGTGTGTCTCGGTGTGTCTCTCTCTGTCTTTCTCTCTGTCTCTGTCTCTCTCTGTGTCTCTCTGTGTCTCTCTGTCTGTCTCTGTCTCTGTCTCTCTCTTTGTGTGTGTGTGTCTCTCTCTCTCTGTGTCTCTCTCTGTCTCTCTCTGTGTCTCTCTGTGTGTGTCTCTGTCTCTGTGTGTGTGTGTGTCTCTGTGTGTGTGTGTCTCTCTGTCTTTCTCTCTGTCTCTCTCTCTGTGTGTGTGTGTCTTTCTCTCTGTCTCTCTCTCTGTCTCTCTCTCTCTGTCTCTCTCTCTCTCGTCACAGACTTGAGCTTTGTTCCTTGTCTCAGCTCCCCCTTACTTTTCTTGGAGCAGAACACCCGTGCAGAATGTGCTGAGTGTTCTCAGGATTGTAAAAAAGAGACGGGGGCCAAGTCCTCCTTCCCCTCCTCCCCTCCTGGCACTGCAGTTTTGTAGCATGAAGACTGAGAATATTAGAGCTGAAAGCAGTGCCTGCCTGGCCATCAGTCACAATGAACCATTCACTTCATAGAAGAGGTTTCCCAGCCAAAGATGGCGGGCTAATGGTGACAGAGCACAGCCTAGGACACGGTACCCTGACCAGTATCCCTTGTGGGGCGGGGTGTATTGTTGCAGGGGGGATCCAGCTATCTCACAGTCAGTATCTAAATGTCAAAGATGTGTATCTGTGTCCTTGCATGATCCGTCATATATGGCAGCTGTTAGGGCCTCCAGTGATGTCATGTATGGTGGAAGCCAGAGCACAAGGCAGCTCAGGACAAATGATGAAAGCCCTTTACCAGTGCCCGACACCAGCTCAGGTCTCAGGTGCCTTCTCACCTTCTGGTCAGCACTTTAGAACAGTCTTTCCAACATGGCCCCTTTTGCCCACTGATTCTGATTGCTCTCTTTGTGTTTAAATTATGCCACAGAAAAAATCGAACTTCCCAACAGCACAAGCACCGAGGTCGAAATGACACCATCGAGTGAGGCTTCAGAACCTGTGCAGAATGGGAACCTCTCCCACAGCATTGAAGCTACAGATGCCCCGGTATGATGCCGTGACAGCACACGTTCCTTGGTGGCTCAGCTCCCAGCTGTGTGGACACCAAGGAGGAGCTGATTCATGTATGTGTATCTTTCCCAGGGCCTCACACAGGGAAAACTCTGTGTGCATTGAGTGAACATGCAAACTCTCTAAGCCATCATTTTCTCAGCAGGAGGGGAAGGGCAGGTGTCTCAGAGTCTGGGGATGAAAAGACATATGCTAATGAGTCATAAAGCTTGATGGCTGTGTCTTTAAAGCCAGTGCTAAACAACAGAAAATTCACAGTCATTACATCTTTTACCTCAGTGATTGAAATTAATATTCTTTGGCCCCACCCACTATTCAACCACAACCAATAAACTGTTCCTCCTAGAAGTAATTAATAATACCTAGCATTTATCAAACACCTACTACATGCCCATATGTGGTGCGGCATGCTTTAAGAATGCCAGTCTTCATACCTCACAGCTGAAGGAACAGGCATTGGTACCTCCACCGTGCAGTTCAGGAAGCTGAGCTGGGTGAGATGAAGTGATGTTACCTAGTTGTTAGTAGTGAGCTGAGACTCCATCTCAGGTATATCTAAATGCAGTGCCTGGGCTACTTCGGCCATGAGCACTGTCTTTAGAGCATGGTTGCTCAAAAAGCGGGCAGAACCACGTGGCGCTTACTAGATATTTGGGTCTTGTCCTGATCAGATCAATCAGAACTTCTAAAGCATGGGGCCCCAGTTTTGCATCTGATCAAGTACCCTCCATCAAAGCTTCACAGGCTGAAAGACACTTCCGAGTCCTCAGAGCAGGCGGGACAGATGGGTCATGATCAAATGCAGATGCTGACTTTGGAGGGCTGGCCCGAGTAAGGCCCAGGGTGTGGAGCTGACTGGGCTCCTCCGTGATGGCAGGTGCTTCTGGCCGAAGGACCACCCTTTGAAGAGCATCACCCTCAACTTTGCTAGCCAGTCTTGTCCCTGAATTTTCTCAACGAGCTGTGGCCCAGTACCCACAAAGAGAACAGAGACAACAGACAGTGCGGTCTAGCACTTCTTTCCTTTGTATCAGAAAATGCTCTCTGCAACAGGGACAATCTGCCCTCTGGGAAAAACGCGTGACTTCTTACATGATGTCCCTGATCTCTAAGAGCGATTTAGAGGCAGTCTCTCCCTATCTGAAGAGAACTCAGCTCTGGCTGCCCTTGTGTCCTCTGCCTTCCAGCCTCTCACCCTCCTGCCCAGAGCCCTGGACTGGCACCACGTCAGCTCAGCAGTGATCTGGCAGAGTGGCTTATGTCCACATGGATAAGCAGCATGTGGCGGCAGGAGGCAAGCCCCAAGGACATCTGGCTGCCCTTGGGGTTGGCACAGTCACAGGTGTGCAGAGGGACACCTCATCACCCTACCACTCCATCTGTCTGACCCAGGGACATCTGTGTCCCTTCAAGGGAGGACCTTGCTGCAGGAGAGCCAAAGACTCGCTGACCTCTGTCCGCAGAGTTGCCCCAGGTCTCAGTGCAGGGAGACGCACAGATTTGTGTGCCGTGCTGGCTCTCCTGGAGAGCAGTCAAGCTATCAAAAAGCCATCACTATAGCTGACTACAGGGTGACCTGCTGGTGCATTCCAAAGCCACAGGGCAAGTTGCCAGCCTGACTGGGCACTCACTGTCTCCTCCTTAAAGCACAGATCCTGAAAATACTGCCTCATTGGTGCTGTCGTGAGAGCTAGATGTGCCCTGGGCACAGGACCACATGCTATCTACTTACGTCATATGCCCAAACTTGCTGCTTAAACAGCATTCACCCCTTCCTTTAAGGATTCCTTGCAGGTAAAAATGAAAAGGGGTTGTATGTGTATATACAGGACATAAATAAGTCAGCTAACAAATGTTTGGTAGTTAATAATGGCCCAGAGGTCTCTGTGTACCATGCTCTGGGAGCCTGCCAAAAAAAGAAATTGATCTTATCTGGGGAAGATATGAAAACTCTAGACCATGTAACATTTGAGCTGGGCATGGGTGGATGGTAGGAATTTGTCACCGAGAGAAGGAAGAAATGAAATGACAACCCATGCAGGTGTCCCAAAGCTTAGGTTTAACGGTTGCCGAACAAGATAGTAGAACCGGGGACTGCAAACCAAGCTGAGGAAATACACACCAGCAAGTGTGAACTGGCTTCAGCCATCTGTCAGTGTTCACCCGGGTCAGACACTGTACCGGGAGCCAAGCTGCCCACAGGTGCTGGCAGAGCCGAGACCGACGGCCAGGCGGCCACGGGGACACAGAGAGCAAAGGAGGATGAGGGCACAAGGGAGTGCAGAGCCCACCAGAAAGCCTCGCTGAGGAGATGTCCTTCAACCTAAGTGGGAACCTGTCAAAACACAGCACCAATAGGCAAAAAAGAGCTCAGCCAGTCTGGAGACAGCATTCCTGTGACCGACAAGGGGGCCAAAAGAAGGAGACAGTAGCAGGGCAGCAGCAAACCACTGGACATCCCAGATGTGACCGGCACTACCAGAATGCCCCTGAGGCTGCATCCAGACTGTATTTAAAGCAATAGTGAGGCAGAGAGGTCCCTGAGCATTTGATGGGGGGGGGCGGAGTGATGGTACTTGGACAAGCACAGTAGACCCAGAGGAGGAGATAAGTGGACATCATGGAACATGATGTACCTTCTGTCCAGCTCTTGAGAGTGAGGCGCCTTGAAGGATTTAGGGAGCAATGGCAACTTTTGGATATTTTGCAGGAAGACAGCTCATCTTGTTCAAGAAATAACCAGGAGGCTGGAGATATAGGTTGGTAGTAGAAAGAACACTTGCCTAGCATGCACAAGGTCCTGGGTTCCATCCCTGGTACCACAAAAATAAGGAGAGGGGCAGAATAGAAAAAGACCGGACACAGGAAAGTGAGCCGAGAACACAGGAGCTTAGGAATCAGCGTGCTGGGGTCCATAGGCTACTTTGGCCTATTGCCTGGGTCTATATGACCCAAGGGGCTAGAATGGTTTGTACATTTTCAAAATGTTTTTGTGTAAAAGGAAGCAGGAGCATATGGAACAGGGACCATATGGCCCCCAAAGCCTGAAATATTTACTGCCTGGCCCTTTGTGGAGTGCGGGGGAGGGGTACTGCTTGTGCCCGATATAAACCATCTGCAGTCTTTAGAGAGAACGATCTCCTATACTGACTTGGAACGATCCTCGGTATGTGTTGTTAAGTGAAAAGGCACAGTGCCAAAGTGTATCCTAGATTGTGAGATACAACAGTACACTGTCTGATGCTGAAGGAAAAAAAGAGAGGGACCAGCATGCAAGCCTGTACTTGGGATGCTGCTGGAGAAATTAGCGATGTCCGTTACCTCCAGAGACTTCTGTGGGTTTTGCATTTTGAACCAAGTAATTGTGTTACCTAGTCAAAAAAAAATGAGTAACAACAATAAAAATAATAATGGGTTAAATTTGGAACGAGGATGTAGCTCAGTAGGGAGAGTGCTTGCCTAGCATATACAGAGCCTTGGTTGGCTTCTACCCCCAACGCCACAAAAAGGGAGTGTCTGTAATCCCAGCATTGGAGAGGTGTAGGCAGGGGGATCAGAAGTTCAAACTCATCCTCCAATACATCATGATGGTGATGATGGGTTAAATTAAAACAGTATTCTTCAGTCATTCAAGCATAGACTATTGTGGCAAACCACTGGAGTTCAAATCCCAACCCTTTTCCTTATGTGCCGAGAGCCAGGTACTCAATCTCTCTGTTCTCCACATTCCTTCGCTGTGAAACAGTAATTTAAAAAAAAAATGCTTATCTCATAGTGTTAGTGTGAGGCTCAGTTGCTCTTTGAATAGTTCTTGACATACAGTGAGTACCTCACAGGGGTTTCATGAAGTTGGGAATACTTGAAAAAAAAAAATCTTTTCTTGATAGCTTTTAAGTAGCACCGACGATGAGGTTTTCCTTGGTATTGGTTGTAAGGTGAAACGTGGCAGGATTTCAGAGCTATTTCAGAGCCAGAATTGAGAAGCTATGACCAAAACTGGCCATGGCAAGTAAAGAGAAAAACAGGGGCCGTAGAGAAGGCTGAGGCTGACTGACCGCAAAGACTGGTGGTGGGTTGGATTAGGGTTACAACTCCAGGGTAAGAAAAAAAAACAAGATTCGCCATCAGGGCACTCTGGCCTCCTGGCACGGATTCGCAGAAGTGATCCAGTGCCTCTGTTTTGTTGGTTTTGTGTCTGTCTAAGTTGTATTTTATCAAGTTCCATGACAAGTGAGGTGGGCACCCCAACTTTATCCGTGGAAACGCTGAGCCCATGCTGCACACTCACTGCTGCTGTTCCCCTAAGAGTTTAGCCTGTCTCCTCACTTGACCTGCCGTATTGAAAATCCCCATTTCCAAGCGAGTTCATCTCACCGTGACACCTTGGCTCAGAGGGCTCTCCAGCACAGACTTTCCATGGCCCATGGCTGGGAGGAGCTTACGACACAACGGAGGACATGAGCCCTGTGCAGCAGGGGACTTGGCACATGCCAGTCGGCGGAGCTGCAGACGAGCGTAGCCTTTTCCACTCTTCAGTGCTACTCTCGTCTCTCCACCTGCCCTCCCAGTGCTGCACAGGAAGTGGACTCGAGCTGCCATGGGTTTGCATCCCACCCAAATCTCCAGTGTGGAGAATTTCCCTAGACATAGACGGACACTCACGTGTTCTTGCATTTTGACAATCTGTGGAGAGCGTGCCTAGTGCATGTGAGGGGGCTCTGGAGCTGAGGGGACCACCTAGCTGCATTTGAATTTCGCCAGTCTAGACCACACCCAGGTGATGGCCCTTGCCTGCATTCCCTGTGGTACTGCCTCCTGGTTCCAGCTGCATGCTCCTTGGTGTGATGCATCTAAATCCTGCAGAGACACTCAGCAGATTTCAGGATCTAGCTACAGAGCTCCCTGGTTTAAATTGTGCCTGCTTTTTTTTTCCTTTGAGACATGGTCTCACTATATAGTCCCGCTGGCCTAGAACT